TGCAGACATGGCTTAAAGGAACATTTACATCATCTACCAAAAAATCTAATAAATAGCTATGTAAAAGCACTTAATTGAAGAGCATCAAAACCCTTATTCAAGAAATTTTCCAGAATAAAATCTCAGTTGATTGTGATTCCATAATATTCATCCCCCCCAAAATACTGATCTGAATAAGCCTATGATTTAAAATGTTTAGCTCTTCAAAAAATATATCTAGCACCATACTATTTTTTAAAAAAGATTTATTTATTTATGCCTACAAGATCTGGAGTGTAGGCCAGAGATGTGAGGGTTGAGAGGATTCACGACACAGTGTGGAACAGTATAAGAAGATTGACTGAAATACATTGCGGAGGGAGCAGCATGTGAGACAGGTGAGGTCTGCTGGGCCATGTGACTCACCTCCCTGCCCCGGGATCCAACTTGTGCTGAAGTGGCTGTGGATAGCTTCATAGTGCTAGTGCTGCGTCTTAACCCCTGTGCCACCCGGGAGGCCCCGCATCATACTATTTTTATTTTAAAACTGCCTGACAAAGCTAATCTAAATTGTTTTTGTGCCATCAAGAGATATGTATTAAAGCAAAAGTCCCTAAATGTGTTTGCATTTATTGAAAGGGCTGTTTTATGGATGGCAAAGGATCTGAAATAAAAGGACAAATTTGAATTTATTGCTAAGCTGGGTTCACACAGAATCTCCACAGCCAAGAAAACTATTGATCTCATATTGTTTAGGGGGATGTGAGTTTCAGGGGTTGGCAGATGGGTGTGCAAAAGCATGAATGAATTGATGTCATCTGGGGAATGATTACTTGGAGACGATGACAGCTGTTTGGCGGGCCCCTGGAGTGTACTCATTGGGCTGGATTCATTCCTCATTGACTGCTTCAGAAGCAAAGATTTTCACTGTTTCTAAATCATGTTCAATAAAGTAAGTTGTTGACTAAATGAGTTTAAAGCCAGTTCTGGTAGTTTCTCACTCCTGTGACAAAGAACAGTGACGCTTCCCCTGGGACTGTGGGGGCTCTGGCAGTTCTTAGTGTCCTCTTGCTGTCCATTCGTCCACGCAGTAGGGTGCCCTGAAGGGTTGTCCAGACTCCTCCCTCTGCTGCTAGTTCTCTTTGAAGGTGGGCTCTTTAGTGGATACCTGATGTGTAGACAGCCAGCATTGTTTGATTGTCTTGGAATCATTTGTTGAAACATTTGCCAGGGCAATGACTGCATTTGAGATACTGAACAAGAAACATTCAGATGATCATTAGACAGCCCAAATTATCTGAAGTGTTAGAAGAAGGGACAGCAGTATACCTGACTATCTTTCCTGAAATTTGCAAGCCTGACCAAGAAAACAAACTCCTGTGATTCCTTGAGTTGTTAGAGCTGGCTTTGCTTTTAGCTTACCGGTAGACTTATTTCACCGGTAATGTTAATTCAGGCATAACATGAAGTGTTAGCAGTGGTGATGACTGGCCAAAAGAAAGTCTGAAACCATTCTTTTGTTTGTAATTTTAGCTGTTACATTGATCGTCCTAGGTGGAAGCTATCTACGTCAGATAGTCCTCATGTTGCCCTGAGAGTTTGGGGGTAAGAGCTTGCAAAAGCCAGCTGCTTCTGCACACTTCCTCTTATTCTGGCATTCTCTGCAGTTCTCAGTGGTTCAGGCCTGGTCTCTGCAGATTAATCTTTCTCTTACAGCCTCTGGATTTTAATAACTCTAAAGTAATTTTACTTAGCATATGGTAAAGGTCACTATATATTAACTTCCTGTCACAGTTTGTTTTATTTCCTTCTTTTTTTTCCTTCTTAGGAACTAATAATCATCCTATTTAGACTGACTTTTGTCTTAATGATTAGCGAACACCCACCCACCCCCAATTTTTAAAATTTTCATTATATATTAAATATTGAACAAGTAATAATGGCTTATAGGGGGTATAAAGAATAAAAGAGAATGCCAGTCTACTCACCAGTCAGCTGTACAATATTATATAACACTACCAGTAGCTTAACACTGTGCCCACCCTTCCCCCGCTATGAATTATATGACCAACAAGTCTTTTCCTTAAGATTTTGCTGCATGTGTTTAGATTCCTAAGTAATATATTTTTAAGTTTTGCATGTTTTTGAAATTTATAAAGTTTGTGTTCAAGTGGCTTCGTTTGCTCAGTATTGAGATTCATTTGTAGTCTGTTGTTCATCTGTTTTATTGCCATGTATTTGATTTATGAATATTCCATAATTTGTCCACCCATTCTTCTTTTAATGGGCTTTTAGTTGCTTGTAGTTGGGTTTACTTGTGTGATTAAAAGCAGAGCTGTGACTCCTGCCGCACATCGTCTCCTAACACAAGCTCTTGGAGCTCTTCTGGACAGAAAGTCCTGACCTCTTTGGGCCAGGGACTCCTTAGAAGTGAGTTTTATGGGTTCTTTCTCAAAATGAGGTTGATTCATTTCCCGCCTTCCCCCCACTTTGAGGTCACAATAATAGTTCAGACCAAAGAAAAGATGTTTTATCTGGATATCAGGAGTACATTAAATCCTTGTTGATTGATTATTCTAAATTCCTCTCGGCAGACATTTAAATATTAGGTTTTAAATGAGTAGGGTTTCCAGTCTGGAAACTGGATTAAGACTGCATATTTTTATGGGGGAAATGAATTCAGTCTTTGTAACTTAGGGGCACTGTGCTAATTTGCTACTTTTAGTGTTTATTTGTATCCCATTTCTAAGCATTTCTCTTCTAAAAAAAATATCTTTCTTCTTTCATATAACACACCCAGCTGTGTCCAGCAGTCGGGCATCAGCTGCAGAGAGGATGCCACGCTCCAGAGTGCTGACTCTAGCTCACAGTGGAGCTGGCGGAGAGGATCGATGGCCTCCAAAGCAAATACATATTTCTGTGCTTCATATATTTATTTAAATTCACATCTAGAACATGCATAACTAACTGGGGCTACAAAGTTGCCTTTTCAGAAGGTATATTTACCTAAAGAAGTTATGCATATTTCATAAACAGGCCATGTAAGAACAACCTACCCCTGGTTTGATTTTCGATGTGCTTTCCCTGTAGAAGGCATGCATTCCTTAACTAATCGTTTAGTTTTAAAATATGTCGCAGTAACAAGGCTCTGATAGTAATTGTGATTTTAATCAGTCAATAGAGCATTCCAAAGAAACACTGATACTTTATTAACTTGCAAAAAATAAATTAGTACATTTAAACCTGCTTGAACTTTAAGCCATCACAAAACCTTTAAAAGTCAATTGCATGGGAAGGGTTTTGAAATAAATCCAATTAAATAAAAATTGAAGGAAGGCAAGGAGGTAGACACTCAAAGGGAAGGAGAGCAACTACTGTGTAGATGACAGGTTTGTTTTGTTTCTAAATTTTAAGTCTTTATTATAGGATATTCTCAGAAAAATGTAACAGAGAGAACCTCCTCCATGAATCCATCTCGTAGCCTGTAACAGGGTGAACCACCTCCATGAATCCATCTCGTAGCTTTCCTTTGTACTTCAGAGCTGGGATAGACTATGAAGACACAAATCCATTTCAAAGAAGTCGAACTAAGGCCCAAGAAATTGAAAAGCCACATCCCATGCCAACTACCTTTCAACTACAGGTCATAAATTCTGAGCCAGCTAACAGTTGATGCACAGTGGTGATGGCATGCGTGCTTACTGCATGTCTATACACAAGTACTTAATATATGTATGACTGAGTACTCACTATATGCCAAACATTTGCTTAACTCTCACGGACTTTCTGCAGTGAGCCTGTGCCGTGGGAGGGCGATGGGAACCTCTGTGTGGACTGAAGAAACAGATTTAGAGGTGTTTTTCACTAGTTGACAGACTTAACTAGGGATAGAGCCACTTCAACAACGAACTTTTGTTTCAGGCTTATCACATGTATTTTTGTTAGAAACCAAGGGATCAAATTGAAAGAATATATAGTTTTCCCTCTGCAGGGATTTATGTATTAGAGCCTGGCACATCAGACAGACACATTAGATCAGTAGCTGTCACGTGTCTTGACTGCAACCCTCAGTCAGAAATAGGTTTATACAGAAACAAACAGACGGTGTCATTGCATAGCTGTTTCTTTCTATGTGAGTAACATTTTGTTTCCTAAGTAGGAGTCAGCACACCTTTTCCGTAAAAGACCTCAGTGCACTTAACCTTTTGGTGGTTATTTTTACATTGTACTGAAAGTCTCCTTGACCAGCCATCCATGGTCTCATAGTTTTGTTTTGTTTTTTTTTTAAGATTTATTTATTTATACACACAAGAACTGGGGTACAGGTCAGAGGTATGGGGGTTGAGAGGACTCGCCAGAGACAGAGTGGAGAGCAGAACAGACAGATCGATGAAGCACACTGCTGAGGGGAGCAGCAGGAGAGACAGGAGAGGTCTGCTGTGCCATGTGGGTCACCTCCCTGGCCAGAACTCATGGTACAGTGGCTGCAGATAGCTTCATAATGCCGCACTTTAACCCACTGCACCACCAGAAAGGGCCTGCCTCATAGTTTTAAGCATGTGCTCTATTTTCAATCTTTATTTTATTGGCTCCACCTACCACAGAAGACGGTTACTTAATTGCTTGTTTTAACATTTATTTCTTCATGTGTCTTCTTTTTTCTTCACAGGCTTAGCATATAGAAAGAAGTGAAGACATGATGTAATTTGGCAACTGCACAGTGCTATTAAAAATAAAGATTATTGCAGTTAAGAGAGGTAGAAAACACATAAAATTAGATGTGACAAGCTGACAGGAAATTTTATTCATTGTGGAGATGTATGTTTTTGCTTTGTTTTTGTTTTTTGACCTGTGTAAAGAAAATGATCCCGTCCATGAAAGGATCCTTCTTCTAAAGCCTTGTTCTTGACTTGGCTGTAGTTTGTTCTTTCCAGGAAGCAGTGAATCAAGTGCGTGGCCAAGTAGGCAGAGCAGCCTAGCGCTGTCAGGCCATGGCAGTCACGTGCGGTGTTCTCTTCCAGGTGTTCACCTTGCTGTGGATCGCCGACTGGATGGTCCATCACTTCTGGAGGAAAGGAAAGGACCCGGACAGTTTCTCCATCCCCTATCTCACAGCCTTGGGCGATCTGCTCGGGACGGCCTTGTTAGCCTTAAGTTTTCATTTCCTTTGGCTTATCGGAGATCGAGATGGAGATGTTGGAGACTAATTAACCCCACAGACTGCTCTCAAGTTACCAAGGAGGAGAACACAAGACACCCCCTTATAGCTCTTTTTCAAAAATCTTCAGCCAGCGGGTAATCTTCAAGTTGGCCCTGATTCAATTAAATGGCCTTAACATTTTTTTAAGGAACTTGAGTTAAAACAATAATGAACAGTATTTGTGCTGCTTTTCATAGAATAAATAATAATTTGACATTGGATACAGAGATAAGCTCAAATTCTAAAATTAATTAAATAGGAAGGACATGGGATGAATAATTTATAAGATATAATTTAAAAACAACAGATATAGAAGAAATGTATTTTATTATTGTTTAACTTATAACACGGGGGGGGTTGCGGGGGGAGAGAGTTCTGCTTTAGCACTTCTTGTCTCACACATGGGTTGCACTGTGAAGTATACCATGAAAGAAGGGGCCACCCAAGCTTGTGATGTTCACCTGCGCCCTCTGCTTTGCTAACTGAGGGTATATTTATCAGTCACTTGCTCTTAATCTGTGTGTTCTGCAGAGCTCACGAGTAACTCAATCTTTACTTGTTTCTGTGACTGGCCAATGCTGACTTAACTTCAACTCTGCAAGCTCTTGGCAAACCACCCTTTAAGCACGGAATAATCTTGAGAGACCTTTAAGGATAGCAACAAGTCATTTTTGATCATTGCTTCTTTGAATAAATGTTGATCTTTTCTAGAAAACTTAGTGGTCAAAAAAAGAATATAAGATGAGCTGTATATGTGGAGACAAGATGGTGTGAAGAATATGTGTGTGTGTGTGTGTGTGTGAGAGAGAGAGAGAGAGAGAGAGAGAGAGATGGACAGATATAGAAGTGTTGAAAGAGAACTGAGTCTTGGATTGATGATAGCAAAGATTTTGGCACTATAGGAATATCAGCATCATATAATTATTCTTAAACACATTTCACTGATAATGCTTTTGTCACTGGTCCAGAAATTTTGCCTATCCAGAATTTAGTACTTGCTACCGCATTATAATTAAAAGTTCTTATTTAGATAACTGCACCCTTGAATGTAACCAAGATATTATAAGATTTGGAATGAGAGGTGATCCATTTGATCTCCTAAAAGAGTCTGTTGAAACCATTTAGGCTGACTGTGACGACAGGCCATGACTGCAGGTCAGTTGCTGCAGACTGCGTGGGATCCTGTCACGGACAGTGCCGCGTTCCCCAGATATTTGTCTAAAACTCTGATCTCCATTCTAGACACTTGACTCACACCTTAGTTATTTAATAGGTGAGCATTTTTATATAATGTCATTCATTTAAAAATGCAGTGAATCCCTCAAGACCGTCAGCTATTTAATAATTTAATCAGGGGGCAAAGAAATGCATACTGTAACTCTGTCATGGTTTAAATTGTGAGTTAGAGTTAAGTATAAACAGGATAGGTTGTTTATAAGTATATAGGGGAAGTGTTCCTATTAAGCTCTTTAAAATAAGGAGTCTATGACCTAGAGCTCTATATTTTTGCTTATTTTAAAACTTTATTCCATTCTCTTGCCTTATGATGAAGGTTGTAAGGCAAAGAGCTGAGCTAATTATAGAATTTCTCCTTTGGAGAGTTATAATGTTGAATAGTGAACATTCTTATAAAGAAAGAATGATTAAGTTGATGAATATTTAGCTGCAAAGATATTTTATTTTAAAAATTGCATAAACCTTTGATTTTATTATAAAGCATCTGTGTGTTACTTATTTACTTTGGGGTTCTATGATTCATAAGTATTTGTGTTTCCTAGTGATTTCTATGTTGATTTTTTTGACATAAAAAATGTACAGGAAAACACACTAGTAAAACATTTGCCAACAACTGTCCTGAGTTACTCATTCCAGGGCACATTCAGGCGCGCCCTGTATTTGGGACTTGCACAGGACCGTGAAGTAGTCCAGGTAACGATTCCTGTCTCTTTTATAGCAGAGGGAACAGAGACTCAGAGCAGTTCTGTGAAGTACCCAGAGTCCAGGTGTGTCCCGTCAAGTATGCTTTCTGTGATCTGCAGGCATAGCAGGAGAACCCAGGGATTCACCGAGAGAAGTTAACTAGGGAATCAGGGTTTTCTGTAGTGGTAAAGCGAGTTGCATCATTTAAACTTCAGCCAGGGCAACTGCCATTTAACAAATCTTGATGATGAGTATGGCCACCTTAGGAACAACTATTCTTGTTCCTAAGACCAAAGGAAATACAGGTAAATGAGAATTTCAGAATAAAAAGCAATGCCTTATTTCTTAGACCACATATCTGATAGCTTAGAGAGCTTAATAGAAATGCCTGGGTTCTCCTGCTACACCTTCCCAGATCTGGCTGTTTCCCATAGATCAAAAATATTATAAGCATAACCCACTTGAGTTCTGTCTTCTCTCTCTTTTGCTACCTAATCTTGGTTGGTTAGAGCAATAGGATCTCTAGAAGACAAACAATACTGGAAAAGAAGACATGAAAAAAAATCAATCACTGGTTGCTTGAATTTATAAAAAGGATGTAGATTCCTTTAAAGTTTTTTAAGCCTTTGCAATAGTTTGCAATTAATAAGATGAATTCTGTTTACCACAAAATCATATATGTAAACTCATAGTATTTTTATACAGCATAAAAATCCCTGATCTCCAGACTTCTTCCTTTCACTAATTTATCAAGCACTTTATTTACACACAGTCCTTTCAAAGACATACTTTTCATTCCAGCCCACCAACGATATTTTTCTTTAAACAATAAAGTTACATAGACGCTGATAAACAGATACTACGGTAATGTATTTCAGCGAGAGATCAAAAATCCACATCATAGTCCATTAACGATGTAGCCAAATGAAGTACATTTTGAAGTCTTTCATAATTGGGCTTCCTTTCCTTATCTCTGGGGCACAGTCTACCCATTTGTAATGAGTGTCTGCTATCTTTAAACTGTTGTAAACTCAAGTAGGAATAAAATTTAAGAAATAATTGGCCCAGCCTTGTTTACTTAACTGCTGTATAAACAGATGAATATCAAACCTGTGTGAAACTCACCCAAAAGACATGAGTATATGTTGTATTGATGAGTATAATAAATCGGGCTTTGACCATATCTAGACCTCCAATCCATTTTTACCACTTTTTCATTTTTAAGGTAATTCAACTTAGATTCCTTGGTCATTCTTAAGTTGGCCCATCAGTACGTACATCCTGGGAAGCCCCCTCCATCCTCACCAGACGGCTGTGGTTAAATCCAGCTGTCTGCCAACTTTGCCTGCACTTGAGCAGCTGAATATGACCCAAGGAAAACACACGACGACTGTGACACTTCTTTCCATGTTTAACCTCAGTCAAGTTTCCCCTTCACTGCCCTGCAACCTGCTCTCTCTCATCGCTTCACTCTGGGAAACCGGACGCTGGTCCTCATCCCTGCACCGACTGTAGACCTATTAAGGCCGCCTGCAGTCTCCATGTCTCCAAGGCCAGTGGTCTGTTCTCAATTGATAAGAATCATCATCTTATTCAGTCTCCAACGATATTTCACAGACTCCTTGAAATAACTTCAATTGGCTTCCAAAAATGTCAGTCTTTTTGCTTTCCTTTCTAGTTCGTTAGATGCTCTTTATCTTCCTGGTGGTTCTTATTCTTCACAGCTTCCATTTGTTTAAATGTCCTACAGTTTCATTATTATTACCTCTTGTCCATCTTTTCTCTCTAGGTAACCTTACTCATTGTTGTATATCCCATTTATACTGATGATTCCCGAATTTATTTCTCCAGCCCTGGCTTTTCCCCTGAGTTCCAGATTTGTATTTCCACCCCACTTAGTAAACCTCCGATAACCTAATAACTCTGTGGTATCACAAACATTTGAACAGCACTGTCCACCAACCTGACCTGATTGACATGTGTAGGCCACGATTTCCAACACATGGAAATCACATTAAGGGCTAATGCCCTAAATATATAACGAACTTTTGTAAGTCAATAAGAAAGTGGTCCAAACCCAATAATAAAATAACCAAAGACAGATGTTCATTAAAAAAAAAAAGGTCAAACTAAATTTCTAATTAAAACCACACTGAGATACCATTTCCCAACTCTCGACTTGGCAAAAATTCAAAGTTGGATAAAATGTTTTGTTTTTTTGACAAGGCTGTTGGAAAACCAACAAAATTGCTGGTGAAAAATAATAAATTTACCATGATAAAATGATATAAGCTCTGTAGAGGGGATGCTGGTCATAGGACTGAAATTTCAAGTGCACTGATGTTGGATGCTCTAATCCCCCATTACTGCCATCAGGACCCAGGCAGCTCCCTAGATCCCCTGCCACAAGCAGGTGGGCCAGGGCCAGGCCACTCCTGTCTCCATAAAGATGCCTCAGAAGGCAGCCATGCCCATTTGTTTATGTGCTGTCTTTGGCTGCTAAAGACAAAGGCAGAATTGAATAGTTGTATGGCCGGCACAGCCTAAAGTAATTACTATCTGGTCCTCGCACACACTCTTAAATCCACCCATTCCTGCTTTAGAGTGGAATCCTCCAATTTTATTTCCAAGTATCCCTGTGGTGCCTTCAGGTGGGGGAGCCCCCTTGTTAGTCTCCATCCAAAGTCTGGACTCATCCAGGGCTGACAGTGGGCCCCAGTTCTCATTCCCCCACTTCAGAGAATCCCTTGCATGGGGTCAACCAGATGCCCACAGGAAGTCAGAGCCTGGCATCCCCAGATTCCAGGACTAGCCCCAGTTCCAAGAAGGCAACCTGGTGAGCTAGCCAACCTTACTGAACAGAACCATAGTGTCTCCCAGGAACAATACTGACATGCTGATTTGGGGTGAGTCTCAAATCAGACCTGGGAGAAGTTCAATGCTGTGGGTCACTGGTAGTCTTCAGTTGACCCTTGGACTTGAGTCTCTTCTGTCCTGACTGCAACCTCACCTTTGGACTTGAGTATCCAAGTGTGATGTTCCCTGCAGCTTGCATGCAGGGGGACCCCCTCCCCTTCCAGCAGTCTCTACCACAGCAAGCAGTCCTCGGCAGTGGCTGCTCCTTTTTCCTCTGATGGTTTTCAAGGTCACTGGTCTACAATCGGCCCTTGCCCTGAATTCTGACAGGTAAGGTCATGCTCTCCCAGGTGAGTCTGAAGTTGTGCTGGACAAGAAAACAGGCATTATTATGGAGTTGGGACATTATTCTTAATTCCCTCCTGGGTCTTCACCCAGTCTCATGTCTGGTGACAGTGCAGGGGATGCAGGAAAAAATAGCCAATGGCTCTTGTTAAAGATGGAAAGGCGGACTTCATTCAGGACCATCGTGATGGGATTTTACAACAGGGGGGAAAAGATGGGACTCAGCTTTAACTGCAGCAGGAGTCAGGGGGGGTTTATAGCCAAGGAACAAGGTGGGGGTATGTGGATAGAAATTGCTATGAGGAAGCATCAGGGGTAAGGGCCACTCTGGCTCACCTGACCCAACAGGACACTCTCAAAGACAGGCCAAGATAGATCTCGCCTGGAAAGGCAGGGGATGTAGAACTGACCAGATCTTAAGAGTGATCATGTCAAGGGCAATGGGGGTGATGAGGTTCTGGTTATAATGATTTAGGGGTGATTCTTACTAAAACTGGATTTTACAAGGACATATACGCAGGAGCCCAAGAGAGGTTTTAGGGTCCTGACTAAAGTTTAAATCTTTGTCAGGGTGCAGCCAATCCTGAAAGAGGTCACATCTAAAATGCTTAACCACAGCTTTAAAGTTCAACAGAAACCTGTTTGGCCAATGTATTTGTTGTTTAACATGGTGCATGGGACATGTCTTTCCTGACTACTCCAGGTAAGACAAAGCAGTCACCACCTTTGAGGAAGAATTCCCCAGGGAAAGACGGATGACGGAGCAGGTTTTAGGTAGGTTCATCTATGCCAGTGCTCCCAAGGCACTCCTTGCTGGGTGACTAATTGACCCAAAGGCCATTTTTCTATTAAAAAAGAAAAGAACTAAAAAGAAAAAAAAAACATGAAAAACAGTGAAATTAAAAATATATTTGAAGAAAAATAGTGTCATTTGAATACACTGCACAAAATGCAAACTATCTGAATATGTTTACTCATGTGGGTAGGTATGTGCAAAGCCACGCGAAGAATTGCTTTTCATGGATTGTACCTAACTGCTCATCCCCAAGCCTTTTGTCCATGCCTTGTACATTATAAACAAATATTTTTAGCTGATCAAACTTACTCCAAGTGTGAAATCAGAGTGTAACGCCAGGTTGCACGCTGTGCTAGAAAACAATAATGCATCGGTTTGCAAAGGTGGTTTTTTTGTGTGTCATTGGCGGTGGAATGAACCCCAAGTGCCAACCCGTTCATTCTTTTTTCTTTTACAGCAAGATTGTTGTATGGTCCATTAGTTAAGGGGTGAAAATATTTGGGGCAAAACAGCTCAGGGTGAAACTGTAGGACAGATGTAACAACAACACGTGTCAAGATGTAAAGAGCATTCGCTCAGTGGTATTAGGGAAGCCAGAAACCAGAAAATCTATACTATTTCACTACAAATAGGTTCTGGCGTGCCAGAGCCATGCAAGGAATAGCTATTTTGCTACCTCTGTTAACAGTGGGAGAAATTAGCCAGGAAGAGGTCACCTGACAAGGAAGAGCCAAGTCTGGTGTCTGCTCTGGAGTCTCTGGAGAGTCTCCGTGGGCATTACTGGATAATCAACACATCCCTGAGAACCTTATTTCTCCCCCATGATAACTATCTTTATGGCTGAATTGCTATAGCTCATGTGGGCCACAGAATTTTTAAAACATTAAAATTGTTTTCATTATAAACATTTTAAAAGCAAATTGCCCCTCAGGACAAGTGGCCTGTGAAGAATATTGCCTGGAACCCCACACCACAGGCCTGCCCTACACCCAGCTTTTTGGAATCTCTTCTGCAGATACCCCAAACACACACATGATGGCATTCTTCAAGATTGTTCATGATAACTGTTTTTTAGGTGAAAAGAGGGCTAAAAATTAAAAAAGATTAAATATATCTATATTATATTAGACGATCTGTGAGTTCATATTTTAAAAATCCTTTGATGGAGGGCCCTCCCTGGTGGTGCAGCGGGTTAAAGAACAGCACTAAGAAGCTAAAGCCACTCAGCAGGAGTTCAATCCCCGTCCCACCCCAGAAGTGACCCACATGGCGCAGCAGACCTCTCCTGACCTGCCCGCTGCTCCCCTCAGCAGTGTACTTCATCAGTCGGCCTGTTCTGCTCCCCACTCTGTCTCTGGTGAATCCTCTCACCACCCCTGTATCTCTGGACTGTACCCCAGTTCTGTATGCATAAAGAAATAAATCTTTAAAAAAATCCTTTGATGGATTAGAAAACCACTTCTGTCAAGGTATGAGAAGTATTGGATACAAAACAATGCATGGAATGATCTCAATTTTTTAAATCCCCAAAATAGGAAAAATTTTTTCCTCTGGATGATGTGATCATAGGTAATTTTTCCTTTCAAAACCCTTCTGTTTTTTCTCCTGATCATTCAACAATGAACCTGTTTTGTTTTAAATTTCTTTATGAATACCTCCTTACCAAACAATAGATCCCCAGCTCTAATTTAGTTCTGAACCATTGCTTGGGCTCTTTAAAAACAGGTTGATTTTGTTGTTTAGTGATTAGAGTACTTAATGTTTTTGTTTTTGGATGTGAACCTCCTTTTTATTCTTGCAGGTGGGGAAAGATGTGTGGAATGGAATCTTTTAGTTTAATGGCACTGGGTGTTACTAAGAAGAAATAACAAATGAGCAAAAGAATGATTGTTGATGAAGAGAAAATATCCTTTGCGCTCGTTATGACTTGGGACTGACATAGCCTTCTGGGAACTGAAATAATCACCCCTGGGAAGCAAACTCCAAGTTTAATAAAGTAGAAACTCATTAAAGAGGTGATTCAATGCCAAACTGAGGGGCGGGACCTGGGAGACCAAGATCACAGTTCTGAGTCTCTGCCCTTGAGTTTAGGGGCTCATAATTATTTTTTCTTCACAAAGGAAAAATTTGTTTAACTTCTAACATTTTCAGTTAGCTAAGAGGTTGATTTCTAACAAACT